CAGGGGGAGAGTCAGGGAGGTGCTGCCCGTGCAGGGTCGAGGCGGGGGGCTTGGTTCTACAGGTGGGCTTTAGCCCTCGACCGCGTCTGTTGTTTTATCCACTTATTTTCTGGAAATTTCACCAGACCGTCGTGATTTGTGTCGTGATCCGGTGCCTGAAGGGCACGAGTAGGATCGGGCACAGCACCTGCAGAGCTCATGGCCTGAAATCACCCACGGGGAAGGGTGAGCAGGATCTCAAACCCTTTGCTTCCCAGTGAGGTTAGAGTGGGCAGTCGTGGTGCACGAGCGATGCGGGCAGCACCGGGAGCAATTCCCCCTGTGCGTCTCCGGCCCGTCGTTTTGGTGGGGCAGCTGCTCGTCAGCCCATTCGGGTGAAGCTTTTAATTGGAGAGGGGTGAAAAATCAAAATGCCCAGCAGTGACGTTACCAGTGAAACCACAAGGACAGCAAATTACTGGCCTCTCCGGCTGGCTGCCGGGACTCCCGGGGAAGTGGCAGTGCCGCTCCAGACGGCAGCGTTAAACACGCGTCGGTGAGTCACGGGGCTATGGCTACCGGTGGTGAAAACAGACTCGAGAAATGCTCGGCTCCACCTGCCGTGGGTGAGGAAACCTGGTTCTCTGGAGCTGTCAGCACCTTTCAGCTGTTACACACCGTCACCCGCTGGGCTCCCTTCTCCCAGCCCCTTGGAAACGCACGTTCTGGGAGCAGGAGGGGATGCCAACGTTTGTCCTACACCGACGTGCCAGCCCCGGTGAGCTCGGGGCAGCCTGTGGCACTTTGGTGCTTTGCACCCTCCAGATGTCCAAAGGCTCGTGTTCAAGGCAGCGGTGCTGAGCGTGGCGTGGTGAAGCCCTGGCCGGGCTCTGGGTGAGCCGACGTGGGCCGGAGCTGGCGTGGGTCACCAGTGCTGGTGTTTCGGGGCAGCGTTCCCCAGCAGAGGGCACAGCATGGCCGTGGTGCTGGATGGCTGCGCCACCGCGGCCACCACGACGTCCTTCCTGCCGCCGTGGGCTCGGGGAACGGGTGGCAGGGTCGTGCTTGGCTCACCGGTGCTTCTGGCTGCTTTTTTGGGAGCCTGTGAGCTCCACGCAGGACGCGGAGCTTTCTCCTGCGGCGCTCCCTCCAGCCCCAGCCACCGCCACAGCTTGGCAGAGCCGGGCAGGCACTGACACGCTCCTGGGTCTTGCTGCAATCCCGCTTCAGACCAGGCTGAGTTTAAGCCTGCTTTTCCAGCCTGCTTCCAGATAGAAAAGTGGGAGAGCTCAGGCATGTCTGTCCCCAAGGCAGACACTTTTCTGCCTCGATGAATGGATAAAATCCTTTTCCCAACGTCTGGCATCAGCCCTGGGCTCTGCTCCCAGGGCACCCAGCCTGGGTGTCCGATGCCAGCCTGATGCAGCTCCTCCGTGCAGGGGCGTGGGGCAGGATCAGGCCATCAGCCCCTCCACGCCAGCTGCTTCTAAGCTGTTCCGCGATGCTCCCGCGCGGCCCTGGAGTGATCAGACCTGGTGGTGGTGGTGCACCGTGGTCCCCATCCCCTCCCCTGCACCGCGGGGATGGCGTGGGGCTGATAACCGCAGCACCCCCCTCTCCTCCCCAGACCATCCACGCTGAGCTCTCCAAGCTGGTGAAGAAGCACGCGGACCAGAAGACCGTGGAGACAGAGATGTACAGGAAGATGCTCGGGAATCCCAGCGCCGCCGGCGCCCCGGGGAAGTGCAAAGACAAGCTGCCCTGGGTAAGGGCTGATGCTGACCTCCCAGGGGTGTGGGGGTTATCCCTGGGGTGGGGAGGGCTGGGTTGGGCACAGGGGTCAGGTTAGCATCCCCTACATCCTTGGGGGGTCAACACAGTCCTGCTTCCAGGTAGGGGAGGGGTGCTGATGGGCCGTGTCAGGGCAGCAAGCCTGCCGGGAGCCGGGG